GAACTCCCCCGGCCTCTACGGAGGGCCCAACCCCAGCGCCAAGGTCAGCCCCCGGGCCAAAGAAGGCACGCCCGACAAGGCCGCAACCCCCATTCCAGCCGGAACCAGTAGCTTCCAGCCAAGAGGTCCAGACGGCGCCCTCATCGGCTCCTCCAGCCGAAACATGGGCCACCGTGACACGGAAGGGGAAGAAGAGGAAACCCAAGACTGCTGCCGCTTCCCAACCGGTCCCTGCGCCCAGGACGGCTCCAACGGCGCCGAAACCGAAGCCCAAGCGGGTAAAACTGACCCCTCCCCGCAGCGCGGCCATCGTGGTGACGCTGCAGCCAGAGGCGGCAAAGAGAGGGTCTACCTACAAAGAGGTGCTCGCTCACCAAGGCCAAGGCTGCAGTGGACCTGTCCGAGCTGGGAATCCCCAGCATAAAGGTCACTGACTCGGCGACCGGGGCTCGACTTATCGAGGTTCCTGGCTCCGAGTCCAGAGAAAAGGCCGACAAGCTGGCGGACAAGCTAAAGGCGGTTCTCGGTGGCGATGTGACTCTCACCAGACCTGAGAAGCGCGCGGGCGTGCGCATCTCTGGCCTGGATGAGTCCGTCACCAGGGAGGAGGTCGCCGAAGCAGTGGCCAGCAAGACGGGTTGCTCTCTGGAAGCTGTCAGAGTGGGGGAGATCCGGCGCAGCTCCCGTGGAGAGGGAATAGCCACACTCAGCTGCCCGGTTGTTGCGCGCCGGTCGTCGTTGAGTGCGGACGTCTCCGTCGATCGCTCCGAGGCCGCCGCGTGGGTACCGGACCGCGTGGTTCTGCATTTCGCGAATTTTCGGCTTTTCGCTGAGTTTCCGCGACTTTCCGCGAGTTTTCCGTGTCCTTGTTGTGCTGTACTAATTGTGTTGTGCGTAATTACTGTTTAATTAGTGTTTTTCGTCGGATTTGTTACTGCCGGCAGCTGACCGCGTGTTTAGCTGCCCGGACGGATATTTTGTTTTTGGAGTGCGATAGGACGCGGTGTTGTGTTTGTGCGTGTTGTGGGCGCATAGCGCTTCAGTGTCCCTGAAAATTTCAGACCTTTTAGGCCATTTTCAGGGAAAACGTGCTCAAAACGTGTTAAAAGTGAGGTTATGTGTGGTGCGCGTGCAAAGCACGTGGCGGCTGACACTGACACTGACAGGTGACAGGTGTCAGTTTTTGACAGGTTTGAGAGTGTGCCGGTGACAGATCTGACGTTTCTGACAGATCTGTCACTTTTGACATTTTTGACATTTGACATTTTTATTTTGACATTTGTGTGACAGTTGTGTCTTGGTGTTGCCAGTTTATTGTTTTTGTCCCACAGACTAAGTCCTCTTCACTTTTGGCAAAATACTTCGAGTGCGCGCTCGCGCCTCGCCTAGCGACTCGACCCTATATAGGTCCGAGGTACTAGTTTACGTCGCCGGAATCATAAACCCGCGCGACTATCTCCAAAATCGTCTCCCGGCGACCAACATCAGAACATTCGTCAGCCGTGCGCGGACGAATCGTCTCCCGGCGACCAAGTTGGGAACATTCGCCAAACTTTTAGTGAGTGTGCGTAATGTCCCGT